TACAGAGTGAGTTCCAGGAAAGGTGCAAAGCCTTGATATCTATGAGCTACAACAATGATCAGCATGGTATGATAACCCTAAAGGAAATTGTTCTCTGTAACCGAGACAATCACAGAAAATCATAGCCAATGAAATGTATGGATGTGGATCCCAGTCTCAATTGATACATTTACAATACAATTTGTGCACCTAAGGCTCAGAGATAATTGTAGAAGAGAGGACGGAAGGATTTTAAGTAGTGGCATGCATGACTTTTCAGGAACCAACAGCTCTCTACTTGAACTTAAGACTTGCTCAACAAGAGGGAAACCATGCCTGGTACTAGAAACCTAGCCAACTACCCGGGGCTAGTGAGATCATGGATCTTGGTGGAGAACCTAGAATTGTCACTTTACTAAACCAGCAGAATCCCTAACTAACCCCCCTGTAACATATATTCATTCTATAGGTTTTGTTCCTCTAGAGAACCCTCACTAATACACCATGGAGAAGAGAACTCACTTCTCCATGGGAAAGCAGAGGCACAATGTGTGCCTCTGTATGGTCTACCAGCAGCAAAATAGTTAAGTGTTTTTATTAGCATGTATTAATTACATACAATAATGGATTTCATCGTAACATTTACAAACCTACATTGCGATAGTTACTTTTTGTCAACTAGACACCAATTAGAGTCACCTGGAGGATGGTACCTTAGGTGAGGAAATGCCTCCATCAGATTGGCCTGTAGTCATGCCCGTGCAGCATTTTCTTGATTGTTGATTGATGTGAGAGGGTCCAGCTCACTTCAGGCACTGCTACTCCTTGGCAGGTGGGCCTGAGAGGTATTAAAAGGTAGCTCTGAACATAAGCTTGAGGGTAAGCCAATAAGCAGCACTCCTCCATTGCCTCTGCTTCAGTTCCCGCCTCTAGGTGTCTGTCTTGAGGTCTTGTCCCAACTTCCCTTCATGATGGACTACAGCTGTAAGTTGAAATAAACAAATTCCTCCCCAGTTTGATTTTGGTTTGGGCCAGTGTTTTATCCCAGCAACAATAAAGCAAACTAGGACATGTGTTTAATGTATTTTCATCATACTCATTCCCTCAATACCTTTTCTTGTCCTCCTCCTCCCACTCCTGCTAATTCTCCTCCCAACTATCCCCTCTTCTACTTCCGTGTGTGTGTGTGTGTGTGTGTGTGTGTGTGTGTGTGTGTGTGTGTGTGTGTGAGACCCGGTGAATTTTATTAGCATTGCTTACAGGAGCACGCATGAAGGAACATTACTGGAGCAAAGGCACCTTACCAGTGGCCATATCACTGAAGACAATGTCTCCCAATCCCCTAGCAATCATGAAGTGCCTATGTATCCCGAGGGAGGGGTAGAGCCTCATGAGTCCCTATCTCCTCTGTGATGGGCCCAATCTGATGCAGATAATCCTAGCTGCTGTGAGTTCAAGAGTGCAGTAACCCTGCTGTGCCCAGTAGACAGGGTCCCACAATATTCCATCCCTTCCTCTAGCTCTAACATTTTTACTGCCCCTCTTCTGGGGTGTTTCTTGAGCCTTGAAGGCAGTAATTTTTTTTTATTATTTTAAGTGTGTGTGTGTGTGTGTGTGTGTGTGTGTGTGTGTGTGTGTGTGTGTGTGTGTGTGATGTGAGTGCAGGTTCTCATGAAGGCCAGAGGTGTCAGATCCCCCAGAGCTGGAGTTTAGCCACCTGGCCACCTGACCATCTGACATGGGTGCTTAGAACTGAACTCAAGTCCTCTGTAGTCACCATTTTTTCTTTGTTTGTTTTTATCTTTTTTTCTGAGACAGGGTTTCTCTGTGTAGCTTTGGAGCCTGTCCTGGAACTCACTCTGTAGACCAGGATGGCCTTGAACTCATGGAGATCCGCCTGCCTCCGCCTCCTGAGTGCTGGGATTAAAGGTGTGTGCCACCCCTGCCCAGCTAGTCACCAATATTTTTATAGATATGTTATATCTCTGAGCATCTATTATTTCAAGAATATTAATTAACTGGATGATTACACACACCTATATTCTCAGCACTTAGGAGGTAGAGGCAAGAAGGCTAGGACCTCAAGTCCAACCTGGGCTACATATTTGAGGCAAGCCTTAGATACATGAGACCCTGTATTAGTAAATAAAACCTACAGTATGCAATTTTTTGAAACTGACTTTTGTTCAGCATAATGCTTTGTGTTCCATCCAAGCAAATTGTTGTATATATCAATCATTAATTTATTTTTATCATTAAGTGGTATTCTATACTATGGATATAGAGCAGTTTTAGGCATTTGCCTATAGATGAACATTTGAATCAGATAGGAGTGGTATCTTACGCTTGTAATTTCAGCCCTCCAGAAGCACGGGCGGGAGGAATTCCAAGAGTCGAAGCCATCTAAGTCACAGAGTGAGTTCCAGGCCAGCTTGGGCTACACAGCAAACTCTTGTCTCAAAAAAATAAAAAAAGTATTTTGAATAAAATTGCTTCTACTTTATGGCTGTGCAAAATAAAGATGCAAGAACGTTCATGTAGAGGTTCCTGTATTTTTATTTCTGGGGGAAATGCTCACAAATGTAATTATATGGTAAGTGCTTGTTTAGGTTTTTTTTCCCCAAGAAACTGCAAACTGTTTTCGATGCAGCTGTAGCACTTTTGTGAGCACCAGCAACATTCCAGTCCAACTTCTCTGTATTCTTGCCAGTGTTAGTGGCACCCATCACTGTTCCTTTATTTTAGCCCTTATTCTATCAACTTGTGTATCGTGTATCAGATAAACATTAAGTTGTCATTTCTCCAGTGATTAACTAAGCTTGCATCTTCTCATGTGTGTATTTTATATATAAATATCCCATTTAATTAAATGTCTATTCAGATATTTTGTCCATTTTCCATTGGCTTGAGGTTGGGGAGGGGCTGAGACAAGTACTACTGTAGCTCAGTCTAGCCTGGAACTTACTATGCAGTTCAGGTTGGTCTTGAACTCATGGCAATCTTCCTGCTTTGGTCTCCTTAGTGTTGAGATTATAAGAGTGAGCCACTGTGAACCGGTGATTAATTTCCCTCCCACTGTTCAAGGAGTTGTAAGAATTTACAAGTCCTTTTTAGTTATAAAGACACCATCAGATATGTGACTTGCAGTATTTTCTTCCTGGCTGTGACTTTTCATTCTCCTGGAGTGGGATTTTATGGAGCAAGCTTTTTTAATTTACACGAGGCCTAAGCTTCTTTTGTAAATTATAATTTTATGGTAATAAATCCAACCAGTTTTTGAGACAAAGGCTCATTTTTTAGTCCAGCCTAGAACTCACAATGTAAAACAGGTTAGTCTCAATCTTGTGATGTTCCATCTATGTGTGGGATGGAGGGGATTAGGGGTCAGGGTATTACTAGTGTCAGCTGCCACACCTGGCTGTGTTTAGTTGGTTTTGTTTTTAGATAGTGTTTCCTTATGTCGCCCTGGCTCGTCTCTAGCCTACTTCTTATTTAGTCCAGGCTGAGATGAATTCAGGTGATACCTGAATTCAGCCTCCTAGTGTAATCCTGTAATTATCTGGATGGTCTTTAAAATTTCTTTTTCATACAATGTATTTTGATTATATTTTCCCTCTACCCTTACTCCACCCAGAACCTCCTCTCTCTCTCTCTCTCTCTCTCTCTCTCTCTCTCTCTCTCTCTCTCTCTCTCTCTCTCTCTCTCTCTCTCTCCTCTTTCTCTCTCTCTCCTCTATCTCTCTCCCTTTTCAAAAATAAAACCACAAAAATGAAAATGAAAACAAAAAGACCATTAAGACAAAAAAAGTGTCAAAACAAAACAAAGTGAAACTAAAAGTAAAAAACAAAACAACAACAAAAACAAACAAAATATCCCATGGAATCAATTTTGTGTCGGTTAACTACTCCTAGGCCTGGGGCCTGAGCTGGAGTGTGACTGATCTACCCAGGGACATTACATTAGAAAAACGGATTTTCCATTTCCCAGCAGGTATCATTGCAAATAGCTCCTTAGTTAGGAAGTTGGACTTTGGGTCCACTTCCCCTTCTCAGTGCTAGGGTTTTGTCTGGTTTGAATTTGTGCAGGTCTTGTGCATGATGTCACCGTCTACGTGAGTCCTTGTTGTGTCCACAAGATGCTGTTTCCTTGGAGTCATTCCCCACCTCTGGCTATTATACTCTTTATGGCTCCTCTTTCACATAGATTCTTGAGTCTTGAGGGGAGGGATTTGATAAAGGCTGAGTGCTCTAAAGTGTCTTACACATTGTCTAGCTGTGGGTTTTGGTGTTAATTGTCATCTACTACAAGAAGAAGCTTCTCTGATGTGGGTTGAGTGAGGCGTTGATCTATGAGTATAGCAGTATATCATTAGGAGTCATTTCATTGCTATATTCCATTAGCAGAATAATAGTATTAGGTTTCCCCTAGGTCCCTGGCCTATCTAGTCTCGGGTTCTTGGTCACTTCAGCAATGTCAGGTATGGGTTCTATCTCATGGAGTGGGCCTTAAATCTAATTTTAAAAGTGGTTGGTTATTCCCATATTGCATGAGTATGTTTTACAGGCAGGTTGTTGTTGTAGGTTACAGGGTTTGTAGCTGGGTGGTATTGATGATTACCTTTCTGTTCTGGTAGCATTCGGAGTACCTTCCAGTACTATTAATGCTAGTCAATAGGAGTGAAGCTTCTACTTAGGTTCCAGCATGACTTCTTCATGTTCAGTGACATAAACAAATGTTGTCTTCAATAATAGCACCTTACCATCAGATTGTTAGAGTAACCAGTACTGGCTGATATTTTTAATTGGCTACTTTCCTGGTTGCATTTCTTTCTTTTTTTTTTTTTTTTTTTTTTTTTTTTTTTTTTTTTTTTTTTTGGTTTTTCGAGACAGGGTTTCTCTGTGTAGCTTTGCGCCTTTCCTGGAACTCACTTGGTAGTCCAGGCTGGCCTCGAACTCACAGAGATCCGCCTGGCTCTGCCTCCCGAGTGCTGGGATTAAAGGCGTGCGCCACCACCGCCCGGCCTGCATTTCTTTCTTTTTGGGGAGGAGTAGACATCATCTTTCTTTCCCTCTCCCTCTTTCCTGCACTCTGTGGCAGTATCTCAAATTTGTGGCCATAAAAAGTTGTGTTCAGTCTTACTTATTCCAAGATGTAGAAAAATGATCAAGGCTTGGATAGTTGGCTCAGCGGGTAAGAACACTTACTGTACAAAGTCTGAGCCAATGGTAAAGAGAGAATCAACTCTTAGAAGTTGTCCTCTGGATTATACACACACACACACACACACACACACACACACACACACACACACACACACACACGTATACACATGTACAAATACACCAATAGTTTTATGTAGCCCAGACTGACTTTGAACTCAATATGTAGCTGAGGCTGACCTTTAACTCCTGGTACTCCTGTTTCTCCTTCCATATTGCTGGGATTGAAGGCATATGCGACCATGCCCAGTTTGTCTGCCTTTTTGATTACAGCCATCCTCATGCTTGTGAAGTGGAATCCTGTTGTGGTTTTAATTTATAATTCTCTGGTTGCTGAAGACGTTGAACATCTTTTCATATGCTTATTGGATCTGTGCATATTGTCTTTGGAGAAATGTCTATTTACTTTCTTTTAGTTGTCACATTATTGAGTTGTGGGGTTTTTTTTACAAGTCCTTTATCATAGATACATGATTTGCAAATATGTAAATATTTTCATCTCACTCTATGAGTTGTTTTTATGTTGTTGTTTTTGGCTCAGTTTTATTTTTTTATTTTATTTTGAGATGAAATATTATTATGTTGCCCAGGTCTTGAACTCCTGAGCTCAAATGATCCATTCACCTTGCCTCAGCTCTCAAGGACTATGATTCTAGACATGTACCACCATACCAAAGCTTTCATTTCTTTCTGTCTTCATCCTTTCCCTCCCCCGTTCCCCCCCTTGTTCATGTGGATGGGCATAAGTAAAAATTTAGAAATCTGAGCTATCAAGTGGTCAATAGGCAATCATAACATCTTTGTGGGAATTCAAACGTATACAATCATTATGGCAAATTATTTGGAGGTCTGTACAAGGTCAGGGAATTGTAGAGAGAGATAGAAAAAATATGTTTCAATTCATGATTCAGGATGCGGACATTTTATGTGATGACAAGGTACAAGGTATAACCTTGCAATTAGTTTGCTTAAGTGGAGAGTAGGTGTTCTTTGACGATAATGAAGTAAATCTGTTTAGATGCAATCAGGTTGAAGACACCTTATAGTCATTTGAAAAGTAAAAGTTTAGCATAAAGAGCGAGCAGCCAGAGAGCTGGAGGAGACGGTTCAGTGGCTAGAATGCTTGCTCTGTAAGCATGATGGCCTTAGCTCGATCCCCAGAACCCACATAAAAGCTGGGCCTGGTGCTGGGTCTTTTGCTGTTGTCAGTTTTGTTCTTTCTTTCTTTCTTTCTTTCTTTCTTTCTTTCTTTCTTTCTTTCTTTTTTCTTTCTTTCTTTCTTTCTTTGTTTTTGTCAACTTGGCATAAACTAGAGTCACCTGGGAAGAGGGAACCTCAACTGAGAAATTGCCTCCATCACATTGGTCTGTGGGCCTGTCTGTTGGGGGCACTTTCTGCGTTAATGAGTGAATGTGGGAAGGTAGGCTTGGGTTGTATAAGAAAGCAAACTGAGCAATGCATTAGAAGCAAGCTAGGAAGTAGTGTTCCTCTATGGTCTTTGCTACAGTTCCTGCCCTGGCTTGCCTTTATGATGGACTCAAATCTGTACTATTTAATAAACCTTTTCATCCTGACTTGGTTTTGGTCATGGCTTTATCACAGCAGCAGAGAGGCAAACTGCGAGAGTCTGTAACCCTAGCTCCTGGAGACTGGAGACACATAGGTTCTGGGTTTCTAGTTAGCTGGTTTGGTCAAAACGAGGGGCTCTAGGTTCAGTAAAAGCCTTTGTCTCAAAAATTAATGTGGGGAGCAATAGAGATTGCTATCTGAAGTCAAACTCTGGCCTCCACAAGTCTCTGTGTAACTCTGTGTACCTGCCCACAGACCTGCACAGGTATGCATACCACACATACAAAGAATTAGCAGCCAGGTGTGGTGCATACCTACTGCAATCTCAGGACTTGGGAGGTAGAATTCAAGTCCAGCCTGACTACATGAGATCTTATCTCAAAGAGGAACAAATAATGGTAGGTATGGTGGCTAGCCCCTAGAATCCCAGTAGAGAACTCTATCTCAAAGAGGAACAAATAATGGTAGGTATGGTGGCTAGCCCCTAGAATCCCAGTACTGAGAACTCAGGTCCAAATGCTTGTACAGCAAACACTTTGCCCACTGCGCCATCTCCTCAGCCCCTCTGGCTTCTCATTCTTTTTTTTTTTTCCAAGACAGGGTTTCTCTGTGTAGCTTTGCGCCTTTCCTGGAGCTCACTCTGTGGTCCAGGCTGGCCTTGAACTCAGAGAGATCCACCTGCCTCTGCCTTCCAAGTGATAGGATTAAAGGCGTGCGCCACCATGCCTGGTTTGGGCTGCTAATTTGTATGTGAAACTTTTCCTTTTCAAATTACTGTAAGGTTTCTACATCCTTATTGAGATTAAGCTGATTCACTTTGCAAGTTTGAGGCTAATGTAGGCTACAAATTTAAGAAGCCAACAGCAATGGATTAGAGAATGGGGGTGTTGAAGGATTCGCTGGAAGTAAAATTCATATAGTGTACAGAAGAAGTAAAGGGAACTCTTGAAAGAATGTACAACTAGCAGATTAATATAGAATAGTAGGTATGATAAAGATAATGTGCCACATCCAATGCCCCAGGACTGTGATAACCTCCTCTCAACCCATAGCTGAGCCCCAGGCCTTGTTAGAGATCTTGAACTACAGAGTCAGTGGAATTTGGTGGACATATGTGGTCTGTAACCTCCTGAAAATATGCTCTTCTGTGGTGCTTCTTCACCATGGGAGGTGTCTCACCAGAGACACTTGGCTACACTCAAGGGGCAACCACTCAAGGGGCAAGTCAAGGAAAACTGCTCCCCTCCATGCAGCAGAGAAGCCAGAGCTGCAGAAGGTGAGTGTGAAGAAGGCTGGGGGCCCAGTCTGTGGAGTGAGGAAACAGGAAGTAAAAACCCTTCTTTCTGTACTATTTCTCCTTCATCCCTCAGTGATAAACCTTAACACCGTGCCAGCTGGCAAAACAGAAAGTATTTTAAAATCCCAGCTCCATTTGCAAAGAGAGCAGGCAGAAAGGCAATCTGAGAGGTACTACAGCAATCCCGGGCAGAGGCAGTCTGCGAACTGAGGAACTTGGTGGACATGGTGTTGGCTTGTTCCTGTGGATATTGAAACCAAGCAGCTATTGCCAGGGCCTGGCATGGAGTAGAAGCTCAGAAGTGTAACCTGGGTCTGCCCGCATCTGAGGCAAGTGGAGGACTCTACTGCAGGTCTTCTGAACTAGAATATCTGGGCCTAGTTCCACCAGATCTTTGTTTTAACTGCCCCAACAGTTTGTGGTTAAAATGATAAATATTTCCAATGCATAAAAGTAAAGAAAATGGTCCCAGTTTTCCCATCAGCCAGCTTTAATGTATGCTCACATATGCCTCATTTCCTTTAGGTCTTTTTATTTCTAACAAAATGCTACCTATTTCAACTCAAATCCTACCCTCATTCCTTTTTCTCTCTTGCAACCAGGAGGTTATCATCATGCACATTCTTGTTTGTCAATCACTGCTTTAGGCCTTTGAAGGGTTTTATCTTTTTTTTTTTTTGTAAAGGGTTTCATATAACCCATGCTGGCCTCAAACTCGCTATGCAGGCAAGAATGACCCTGCGTTCCTGATCTTCTCGCCTCTACCTCCCGAGTGTTGGAATCACAAGCATGAACCATCATGTGCCGCTCCTTTGAAGATTTTTTTGTTTTTGTAAAGCAGGATGTCACCAGAAGCATCAGAACAAAACTAGCTAACTGGGGTCTTCTGGAGTATTCATTAGGATGGGAGGAGGTAGGCAAACCTTTCAGCAGGTAGATTCAGTGAGGCAGAGGGTGTGATGCTAGATTTTTGGTTTTTGTCCTCGTGCCCTTCTGGGAAGCCTGTTCTGCTCTTGTGACCTTCAGTATCTGCCCTCACCTTATTTCCAAGCGCATCCATCATCTCCTTTCTTGTCTTTACCTGCTTCCCAAGCCAGCCTGGGCTCTATGGTGAGTCACTTCAGGTAGAAGCTTGCCCACCCTGACATTATCCTGTAACAAATCTAACTTTGAAATCTCAATGTTAACAACTGTTTCTTTTACCTTGGTGGATGCTGGCTTGTGGCACTCTCAGCCTTTCCTTTATTACTTACAGTAATTTACTATAGCTAAATGTCTAAACTGAGGTAGGAAGCTGGGAGCAATGGGACACATTTATCCTCCACTGAAGAGACTGGGACAGGAAGAGTACCATGAGTTTGAAGCCTGCTTGGTTTTCATTATTGAGTTCCAGGATAACAGGGCTATACAGTGAAACCATGTCTCAACAAAACAAAAATCAAAACAAGGCAGATCCCTATCCAGGTGACACTGGACAAGAGCCTATTTTGGGCTAAACTATATTCCTGAAATGACTCAGGCTTTGCTCATCATCCTCAAATGTAAGTAGTACCTCAGTAATACTGCCAGCTTATGTTTGCCCGTGGAGTAAAATTCACCTGAGCAATTGTGACGCTATCCAAATGACATACAAAACTGTGTTTAAATAGGTCAGTTGAGGAAATAAATTTATCAACAAATGGGTTCTGTTTATTTCCATTACATAGATTTGGCCATGGGTCAAATCCAATTAAAATTTTGATTGACTATATTTATTTTACTTATAAGTACAACAAGCTAAAAACACAGAGGTAAAATCTTCATTATAGAACTATGGATAGACCCAACATCATCACTGAATCTCAAAATGTTTGTGTTAAGAAACTACACAAAGCCAAGTACTGAGTCAGGTAAGCGTAGGGAATGACTTAGAAACGTGAGACTCTACTTGGCTTGGGCTGTGTGCACCTCCCTTTGCTAACAATGCATCTAGCAACATGTTGGCAACCCGAGACCCGCCACCTGCTTTAGGCTTCACATATTTCTGCTTGAAACAATGGAAATGTGTCAGTCTCTTTAAAAACATTTGGCTAATGTCTGACAATCAGGTGCCCTTGAGTATCTTCCATCCTTTGGCTGCTCTCAACCTTGATAGTGTTTCTTTTGCTCTGTACTGTTGCTTCACTTTGAATAAAGTTTCCTTGCTACTTTCACAATATAAGTGAGCCTTTATTTCAGTTATTTGATTGAGAAACCAAGAACCTGGAAACACCTGGTCCAGATTATGACCACCAGTAACACTACCATATTATATAATTCCCTTTATGCAAGATCCTTGAAAAATACAAACTAACATAAAGGGATTGAAAGCAGATGGGCAGTTGCCTGTGATGTACAGAAAGGGTAGGAAAGAAGGAGTTGAAAAGGCACATGCACACTTTTCCGACTGAGAGGAAAAGTTCATCTAGAGCAGTGGTTCTCAACCTTCCTAATGCTGCCACCCTTTAAAATAGTTCTTCATGTTGTGGTGATCCTCAACCATAAAATTATTTTCATTGCTACTTCATAACTGTAATGTTGCTACTGTTATGAATTGTAACATAAATATCTGTTATTTAGGATACATAATATTCAACCCCTGTGAAAGGGTCGATCAACCCCCAGAGGGGTTGTGACTCACAGGTTGAGAACCACTGATCTAGATTGTGTGAGATTATGACCAAATAGCCCGAGAATGTCAAAATTCTTAAGTTGGCCTGGGGATATAGCTCACTTGGTAGAGTGCTTGTCTAGCACGTACAAAGTCCTAGGATTAATCCCAAGCACGTCATAAACTGGGTGTAGTGCTGCATGCTATAATCCCAGCACTTGGGAGATGGAGGCAGAAGGATCAGGAGTTCAAATCCAGCCTCGGCTTCATGGAACTGTCCCAATCACTATCACCATCAAAAAGCAGGAGGAGGGGGTGACAAGAAAAGAGTTGTGAGACTTAGCAGCAAACAGCTGTAATTAACTGGATGTCTCCCATATGTAAGGAGAGATACTGATGGCAAATGCCCTGCATTTGCCAACATAGAGCTACGCAATTCAATTCTGCCTTAAAGTTTCTCTATAGTATGACTATTTTACCTGGTGCAGAAAATGTTTGAGAATAACAGACCCCTCTTGCTCATACTACAGAGAAATTTATGATAAGGCAAAGTTTAATAGTTCTTCTGGATTCATGACTGGGGCTTGTTTTCAGGTCACCATTTTAAATGCAGAGTGTTTGTTGATGGAGAAAAGTGAATTTTTCAGTCTCTAGTGTAGACAGAGAGGACAAGTGCTCTTTTGTTCTCAAGTGCTCTGTCTCCAAGCATATTTCCCTCATTTTGTCTGACTGTGTCTGAGTCTTTGCTAAGGGTACTGCAGCTGGACTGTGGAGTGGAACCAGGTCCAGAAAAAGAATTGCTAAAGAATGCAAGTAAACAGGATGGCAGATGTTATCCTTAGCCTATTTCCCTAAACATAGCTTTTTGGCTACAAAGTAAAATGCCATTCTTCCAGCTTCTGCTTATATGCAGTCATGGCTGACAGCAGGGACAATCTTCCTCTGCTTGGCAAGTTGTCACCGTGTGACTTCACGTGTTTTGTAAGGAAGAAATGATCGTGACACACAAAATCTCTGTGAGATTGTCTGAGGACATCTGGCCATTTCTGGGAGGAATTGTCTCAACCCACCTAAGTCTCTGAGCTCTGTTTGACCAGCACAGCTCCCCATGAGGCTCAGAGCTGTCTGACCTAAGAGGCAGTTGGCATCTTCCTCCTGACAGAAGCCAGATTTTTCACTGGGGCTAGACTGTATCGACCGTGTTTTCCCAGTCTGCCCCATGCGTGTCTCATTTCCAAGGTCCTCTGAAGTGCTGGCTCACTCCCGGCTCCACGAGCCCTTGCTTACTTTCTGCCTCCCCAGCATCCTCTTCACTTCCTTCCCTACAGCTTCTTGCACTGTGGTGTGTGTTCCTCCCTTTAAAAAAAAAAACAAAACAAAACTAATGAATGTGTTTTGCAGGTTTCGAAAAAATCCCCGTAATGTTATCCCAGAAGTCTGTCCACTCCTTATCATCCCTTCCATATCTCTGAGTATGATCTCTGTGGTTTAGAAATCCCGCGTTCCACTGTTGTTAAAGAAAAGTTGCCTTAAACCTTTGCCCTGCAAGCACCAGAAGAGAGCTCATAAAAAGGAAGACAGCAGCAGATGCAATCACGGATGTGGCTTAGTCCTCGCAGCTGCCCCGGAGAGCTGTTCAGAGTGTACGAGCCTCAATCATGAATCCCGAAGAACGCGTTGTGACATGGCTTATAGCTTTGGGAGTTTTAGAGTCTCCCAAAAAGACCATCTGTGATCCAGAGGAGTTCTTGAAGTCCTCGCTGAAAAATGGGGTAGTGTTGTGCAAACTCATCAACAGACTTCTGCCTGGTTCGGTGGAGAAGGTAAGGTTGTTTGTGCAGTGTCTTTGGGATTGCTTTCACCACGAAGCAGCAATAATACCATTCTTGAGATTTTTTTTTTCTGTTGCCCAGTCATGGGAATCCCCTACTTCAATATCTTTCTAAGAGTTAAGCATTCTTTCTTACTGCCCTTGTACTTTGAAAAAGTCAGAAAATGAAATATCCTTCAGTAACTGGCCCCAAAATATTACCCTACTAAAAACCTGTTCCAGCACTGGCAGTCCGGGGTGGGAGGACACGCTTATCATGCATGAGTTCGCTGTGTTGTGGAGATGCATCTTGAACTTCCCTGTGCACTTCGGACATGTTTTAAACTTTGGGTACATGAGTCTGTGGAATAATGAAATAATTTGTAGTAGATCTTTCTGGTGTTTGAGAAGTTGCCTAAAAGTTGATTCAGAGTTCCTTTCTTAAAAAAAATAAAAAATCAGTTGAAGAAAAATCTATTCACAAAAGTCAGTGTTACATAAAACTCACAAAAACCAAAGAGAAACCAAGTGTGTGTATTGAATGCAGTGAGCATTCAAAGTGAAACTAAACCTAGCTCAAAAAAATTCCAAGATATTTGAGGTTAGAAGGCCATGTTACGACAGTGGATGGTTTCTAAAGTAGACAATTTTGTGGCATTAAAGGTAGAGTTCTTACCGTTCTTTTCTCAAAGTCATTGTGGAATGTGACTGTAAGTAAGGCTTCTTTTGCCTTTTGGAATCAGTTCTTTTTTATTGAACAAGTGTATTTACTTCTAATTTCTTAAACTTGAGGAACAGTGATTCAACTGGTGATAAGATGCGGAACGACATGACAACAGTAGTGCCCAGCCAAAGTGAAATATAATACCAACAAATTATCATGGGGAGTAGAGGAAGGTAATCCGTGTGGCCTTCTCAAATGAAAGCAGGAACTAAACTAATACGTTATATGTGAATGTCTTATTCTCTCCAGTTTACTATTCTCACAATTGACTTGAAGGTACAAGGAAACCTTTTTAAGTAGAAACGGCTCGCAGACATTTGAAACAAAAACCAACCGTTTAGACATTTGCATCACTTCCTTAAGTGGTTATTCTCTTCCTGGATGGAGAGCAGGGCTGCCCTCTGCCTTCAAAAGCTGATCATATCTAGTTATCTGCAAGTGGTGATGATCATTTGTCATGGCTTAGCAATCCCTAAGTGACATTTGACTCTTTCTCTAGTATTGTCTGGAGCCCCAAACTGAGGCCGACTGCATCGACAACATCAATGACTTCCTGAAAGGATGTGCAACCCTTCAAGTGGAAGTAAGCTAACCTGCCTTGCCTTTCATTTTGCCACTGTTTTCTGTTCTGTTAATAAAAAAAAAGTCCGTAAAGTATGTGATTAATTTTCACTGCCAGTAGCCACAAAGATAAACAGAGGTGGCCCTTTAGAGAAACCAGAGTTGAGACTAGTGATCCCCAAGGGTGCATTGCCCGTGTGTGTCTTACAGAACCTAATTCTAAACAAAGCAAAATCATTAACTGGGCATGGTGGCACACACCTATAATCTGCACCACTAAAGTAGTAGAAGCAGGAAGATCAGAAGTTCAAGGCCACCCTTGGCTATACATTTAAGTTTGGGGCCAGGCTAGGCTAAATGAAACTCTTTCTCAAAAAACAACAACAAAGAAAAGAAAGAAAGAAAACAGAACCAAAAGGAAAGAATTTTTTAAAAATGCAAAATGATGACTTTTAAACACAGCTTCTTTTCAGATGACCAAGCTTTTTGTGGGTGTGCTTCCTTATTAATGGGTGGAAAAAGTGAGTCACTGGCTATTACAAAGGGTCTCAGCAAGCTGCATTAAAATCAATTTAAAAAAAGAAATGGCCTGGTGCCTAAAGATTAGCCCTGAAAACATACATACAAGCAACATTATACCGACTAAGCAAGTTCTATTTAGGAATATATATGTATCTGCACATACGTATATATACATGTAGTAACAATTAATGGAAAAGAGGTCATGAATTTAAAGGAGAGTGGAGCAGGAGGATTTGGAGGGAGAAAAAGGAATAGTGAAATGTTGTAATGAAAAAGAAAAAAAAGAAAATCTTGAGAAAGAAAACAGAAAAAGAAATGGCCTTTTTACTCTCATTAACACTTTGGAACAGAGGGAGGCTTTGGGAAACTGCAAGAACCTAGTCTTCAAGTCAAAACTGTATTTAAACAGAGCAGGAGATACAGATCAGTGGTAGAGGCTTGCTTGCAATGCAAAGGCCCTGGATTCAGTCCCAAACACCAAAAGAAAAGCAATGAAAAGCAAAATAAAAAAACCCAAGCCACATTAAACTGTGTTGCATGAAGAACCCTACTGCATGCGTACACTGTATTACTGAAAAGGAGTTCGATATTTCTGTGTGTGCCAAGTTACGTTTTTGTGCTTCCGTGTTGGTTTTGTGGTGCAGGGACTGGATCCTCCTCTTACATGTGCTCAGGGAGTGCTAGCATGGAGCTGCACCTCCATGCTCTCTCACAACGCTTTTGTCTGTGAAATAGACATAATATCAACCACCTCATGATGTTGTTTCGGGGTCAAAGGAGAGATTGCTTAAATATGTAGGCTTAAGAAAGTCAGTGTCCTAACATCTGTAAGCTAATTTGTGTATTATCTTCAGCTCAGAGCCATGTCAGAGGTACTCTACATTAGTAAGCAAGTATTATCTGTGGACAAATGGTAGGGGTTTGAGCGGGGACTCTGATGTTAGACATCTTGAGATTAAATCTCAGTTCATACTCACTAGTGACATTATGACCTTTGAATCTGTTATTTAACTATGCTTCTGTGCCTTGGCCTCTCCACCTGTAAAATAGGAATAATAATGGCACCTGCCTGTCTATTGATACTGGTATGAAATTTCAATGAATTAATACATGCAAAACCCTGGGAAGAGATACTGGGGCATATTATTTTTTAAGTAGCTATTTATTATTGTTGCTATTATTATTATTATTATTATTATTATTATTATTATCTTTACTAGCTGTTGTCTCAGCTGAACTTTGTTTCCTTCAAAAATTTTCTTAAAGCCAGCTGGGTGTGGTGGTGTAAAATTTTCATCTCAGCCCGTGGGAGGCAGAGGCAAGTGGATTTCTATGAGCTTGAGGCCATCTTGGTTTAAAAAGATAGTTCCAGGGATATGATATGAGGCCTTGTCTCAAAACCAGTTTTTTTTTTCTTGAAGCTAAGCCTAATCCAAAGTCACATCTGTGTCAGAATATCTTGTTCCAATGTTCCCTGCTTTCCAGTTTGAGAGACCCCTCACCCATCTTGAGGCTCACAGTCCATGTGACTTCAGAGCATGTGATATCCATTATAGGATGCTGTCTACTGTGGAACAGACCATGACATTTCTTGTTTGATTTTTCAAATAAAAACATGGTGAAGTTGCCAGTGATTTCTGTGCTGAAGCTGCCAGAAGGTGTACTGTGCTTCTTTGCAGTTCTAAGAATACTGGATGATAGAGAAACACCTCCTGCTGCTCCACTGTTGGGGGTTTTCTGATAACTAAAGATTATTCCTTTAAGCACAAATACTTAAAATAGTCATTTTTTTTTTTTAAATCAGAAAATGTTCTATCCACTTTGGGCAGAAATTTTACTAAAAAGTGTATGAGACTGACATGATATGAACATTGTAATAAAAGAGTATCTGACATTGTGGTTATCATGTTCCTTCTATAGCTTCATAGACGTGTGTGTGTGTGATGTATGTACATTATGTGGGGTACACGTACAGGCTAGATGTCAAAGTCGGTGTCTTCTTCTATTTCTCTCCAGGTTACCAAAACCATTTTGAAACAGTCTAGATCCCTTATATGAACAGCTGAGTTTTAGGAAGCTTTCTTTCTTTCTTTTTTTTCCTTCCTTCCTTCCTTCTTTTTCTTTTTCTCATTTTCTTTCTTTCCTTCCTTCTTTTTCTTTTCTCTCTCTCTCTCTCTCTCTCTCTCTCTCTCTCTCTCTCTCTCTCTCTCTCTCTCTCTCTCTCTCTCTCTTTCTTTCTTTCTTTCCTTCTCTCTCTTTCTTTCTCTCTTTCTGTCTTTCTTTTCTCTCTTTCTTTCCCCCACCCCTCTTTCTTTCTTTCGGAGATAAAAATCCCTCACTGAACCTGCAGCTTGCTGTTGTGACAAACTGCAAACTGGCTGGTCAACAAGCCCCTCACCCACCCAGCATCGTATCGGAGGGCGGGGGGGGGGGGGCGGGGGGGCGGGGGAAGGCAGTTGCTTAGTTACACGGGTGCTGGGGACTCAAACTTTGGTCCTCATGTTTATGTAGCTAACATTTTCCCCACTGTGCCATCTCACTAACCCCGTATGCTAGAACCTTTCCTCATAAAGTTCCTTGGCGTCACTGTATGACGGGGACTAACAGTACAGAGGACTTCAGAAAGTGTATATATATATATATTGTCTGGATGTTTCATTTTCAGTGTATGTCTGTGCACCATATGTGTGCCTGGTGCCTGCAGAGGCTAGAAAAGGGCATCAGGCTGGGCGGTGGTGGCGCACGCCTTTAATCCCAGCACTCGGGGGCAGAGCCAGGCGGATCTCTGTGAGTTCGAGGCCAGCCTGGGCTACCGAGTGAGCTCCAGGAAAGGCGCAAAGCTACACAGAGAAACCCTGTCTCGAAAACCCCCCCCCCCCAAAAAAAAAGGGCATCAGATCCCCTGGAACTGGAGTTGCAGATGATTTTGAGGTGCCATGTGGTTGCTGGAAATTGAATCTGGGTCCTCTGCTAGAGCAGTCAGAGCTCTTAACTGCTGAGCCATCTCTCCAGCCTGGCTGCAGAAGATTTAAAAATTATTTTTTAAAGTTTAGCATTCATTGTGGTGGGTTTCGTTACAGTGAACTATTTTAAGGGTCGAATGAAAGAATGCATCTACAGCTCTCAATATATCATTGCATCTAAACCCTAGTCCTACTGCTTACTGTTACCTTGTGACTAAGTGCTCTTTGTACTGTTATGCGCAAAACTGAGCCACGTTAAGTCACTCACAGAGCCCTCAGGGAAGACACATAGAATCACCTTAGAAGGCATGAGACTGAAAGCTGAGCTGGAAAGCACGGAGCAGCCACGTACGTGGCCAGTCCAGTCTCCAAGCTTCTAGGTAGCTGAAAAACAGATATGTATTCACAGAGGTCATGAGAGAGGGGGCGGGTCTCAGGCACCAAGTTCTTCAAACAGTGTGGCATAGGGCATGCCTGGTGGATCTGAGTTAACTTTGTAAAGCTCTAAATGTATGAAAAGCAAGAAGAGGGCTTGACTCTTTCCCAGAGCATACTATCATTTATCTGAAAAACAGCTGCTAGTTTGAATCAGTCAGTTTGGAAGATTGTAACGCTGAATCAGACAGTGGTGACTGAGTATTGGGTTCAGAGGTGTGGGGACCACATTACAGGTTTGTGATCACTTGGCCTCTCCAGATGCCCTCGATCTGCTGTTGACTGTGGATATCAGAGTTTAGGATCGATAGTGGTTCCTACAGCTAATAACAGAGAAATCTGGAAAACAAAAACTCCTTCCAACTTTCATACTATCCTTTGAGACATTGTTTAAATTTTGTTGAAGTCAGGTTCGTTTATTTTTGTGTGTATATGTATGCGTGCATGTGTGTGTATGTCTGTGTCAGCCACAATGTATGTGTGTAGGTCAGAGGGTAGGGTGTCTTTCAGTAATTATTTCTTCTCCCTTGTTGAGGCAGGGTCTGTCTCATTTCTGCTGTTGTGGTATGTCCCCTAGGCTAGCTGATCTGAGAGCTTCCCAGCGGTTTCCTCCTCTTTGCTTCTCATCTCACTGTGCTGGGATTACAGATGTGCACCAAGGCATCTGGTTTTTTTTTTTTTTTTCAATTAAAATGTATTTTCTCTGTACGTGTGGTTTGCTTGCGTGTGTGTCTGTGCACCACTTGCATGCCTGGTGCTCATGGACTACAGAAGAAAATGTCAGATCCCCTGGAACTGTAGTTATGGCTGCTTGTGAACCACCATGTGGGCATAGGGAACTGAATCCAGGTCCTCTGCAAGAGCAGTTAGCGCTCTTAACTACTGAGCCACTGGGTTCTGGACATCCAATTCAGGTTGTCATGCTTGCCCAGCAAGCATTTTCACCCACTGAGCAGTCTCCCCAACTCTCACCTTTTTTTTTTTTTTTTTTACATTGACTTTTTAGTGTCATCTGAGAAACACTTGCACAATCAAAGGTCATGAATAGTTGTGTTTTCCCATAAGAATGTTACCACAAATGGAGGTTCTTTTCTTCTACTAT